TTTACAGCTTTATAAGGATATTGCTATTCTAGGCTGTCTATAAGAAGGATCTACTGTCTATAGATGTGCTAAAGTAAGTAAAGAAGGCTAGTATTTCTTTATAAGCACTTTAAAATAGTAATAAACTAGCCTAAACTAAGTAGAAGCTAGCTAAATGCCTTAAAACAGCATAAAAGTACTAAAAGTAATAGCATAATAAAACATATAAACATAAAATATACTTAGTAGAGAACTAAGTATACTTTAGCACTAAGAATATTACTACCTTCTAGCTAAAAAAAAAGCTAGATAATAAATATATAAGCCCTTAAAAAGTTTTTACTATATATAAAACTTAATTTTACTACTTAGACTTACTAGCTAGCTTTTAGATCTACTTAGTATTTTATATTAGCTTTTTTAAGCTAGCACCTTTAAGTTACTTATTACTTTATAAATAACCTCTAGCTAAGGCAGTAATACTTTAAGCAAAAATAGATATATAAAATGTAGACTACATTATAGATTAAGAGCTGCATAAGGGAATATAGCTATATACAGTACACTAGAAAGGTTTAAAGAGAAAGATAACTAACTACTTTTAGTAAAAGAAATATTTAAAAGAGCTATAAATAAATTCTAGAGATAAGTAGAACTACTAGTATAAAAAAAAAAGAAAAAAAAAGAAGGCTAAATTAGGCTAAAAAAGACTAGACTAAAAAAAATAAACTTAAACTAGACAACTTTATAAAAGCTTAGAATATTTAAAAAAACCTTTTAAGCACTATAAACTTTAGAAACTTAGCTTATTTTTTACTATCTTTGTTTTTAAATACTACTAGATTAGTCTAGATTACTCTTAGACTAGCCTAAATACCTTTAAAAAAATAAATGCAATATAAAGCCTAGACTTTACTAAAAAAACTTAAAAAAAAGTAAGCTACTAGAGAGAATATAAAAAAAGTATAAAGTGCTATAACTATTTTTAAAAAAGCTACTGCTATATAAAAATAGACTAAACTATCTTAAAGAAGAAAAAAATAGTAGGTAGAAACTTAGAAAAAGTAAAACTTATTTTAAAAAGCCTAGACAGGCCTAGAGACCCTTAGATCTACTAGACTAATATAAAAAAAATGCTAAAAAAACTAAAAATAAAGGTAGATAACTTATTTTATTTTTAAAAAATGTTTTACTTAAAGTTAAAAGTGTTAAAATTATAAGTAAAGTTAGTTTTTTATATGCTTTACTTACTTTTATAAAAATTTTTAGCAAAAAAGAGGACCTAAGCCTAGAAAACACTAAAATTAGTAGTAATAGGCTAAGTACCCTAGATAAAGTTAGACTGCTCTAGAAAAGCCTAAATAGGTATAAGTTAGAGAATATATAGTGTGGACACGCTTAGAGACTAGAGAAAGAGGTTTTAAGCTATTATTATTACTTATTTTTTTTTTACACTTTACTAATGCTTTTTTTTTTACTTTACTAAGACTAATAATACTTAAGTCTTTAAACACCTTTTTACTAATATAAAAAGAGGTTAGAGCGTTACTAGCTATCTTACTATAGATAAGCCTAGCAAAAATTAGTCTAAAAACCCCTAGAAAGCCTTAAAGACCTCTAGAGAAACTTAAAAGAGTTTAAAAAGTAGCTAAAAATTATAAACTTATTAAGATAAATAATAACTTTATTAACTTTTTTATAAAGACTTTTAATAATGTTTAGTAGGTACTTTTAAGTGTTACTAAGGTTAATTTAGGTCTTTGTAATGAGGTAGGCGCCCCGCCTGCCAAGCCGATACTATACGACTTTCCCTACTGTACTAAAAGGTACGCACGAGAATACTTAAGCTAAGTATTCTCGCATAGTATAATATATATATAGGCAATGCTAGGGTAAGCACTAGCACTAGCGGTTGTCTCTAGCCTAGCCTAAACCTCTATGAGCGAGAGAAGGCCACGTGGTTGACCGTGCCGACCTCGTTACACTACCCCCCCCCCTTAACAGTCTTAGTCCCTAAGACTTTAAGGCTGAGGATATATATCTGCTCTACCCTAATTATAGCCTCGCTATAATTTAAGCCAGAGTGATCGCTGGGACTCGAACTCTCGACCTTTAGGTAGCTTAAGTATTATGTAATGAGGTAGGCGCCCCGCCTGCCAAGCCGATACTATACGACTTTCCCCACTGTACTAAAAGGTACGCACGAGAATACTTAAGCTAAGTATTCTCGCATAGTATAATATATATATAGGCAATGCTAGGGTAAGCACTAGCACTAGCGGTTGTCTCTAGCCTAGCCTAAACCTCTATAAGCGAGAGAAGGCCACGTGGTTGACTGTGCCGACCTCGTTACAGTCTTAAGCTAAAAAAAACTACTAAAGATAGTGCTTATAATAGTTGTAATTACTAGGTAATAGTCTTTTAGGCACTATAACTTAAGAATTAGTAAAAGAACTAAGAAGCATCCTAGAGACCCCTAAACAGCTATAAATAGCTCTAGAATAACTTACTTAATAGTAGTCTCTACTACCTTTATAGCAGCTATTGCACTTTAAAAGGTTATTAGTGCGCTTAGGCTCTAACAAGCTTTAATAAATATAAGTATTATAAGTTTAGACATTATAATTCTTCTTAATAAGAAAATAGCATAGTAGAATTATGCCTAGCTTATGCGCTATAATCCTACTTATAATTTTATTAAAGTAAGTTAAGTAGAGATTAATAGTAGCTAAGGCTTTATTTATAGCTAAGGTAATCTTATCTAACTGCTTACTAGCTAAGAAAGACATTATTAGTAGTAAAATATGCAAAACAGGGCTTAAGAGGCCTAGAAGAGCCTAGATTAGAATAGACAAGACTAGAGGCCTTAAAAATAGGATAGGGGATAGCTAGCTAGGGTGGCTAGCTAAGGAAGAATCTAAAGGTAGTTAGAATAGGGACTCTCTAGGACAGACAGAGCTTTATATAGGGTCCTCTAGCCTAGGGGGGCCCTAGAACACTCTAGGAAGCCCTAGGAAGGCCTAGGGGCTCCTGCAGAAAATCTTTTTAAAATATATACTAAAAGCGTAGAGTAAAGTGTAAGTGTAATAAAGAATTTAGCTTAGTAAAAAGTATTTAACTTCTTAAATTAAATTTAAAGTAACATAAAATTATATAACTTCTAAACTTTAAAAAAAGGCTTAGATTTAGGCGTAAGATTACACCTTAAAAATACACCTTAAAAAAAGATAGGGCTTTATAATAACTAGCTATCTAGGTGTTTCTTAGGCTGTTGTAGACTAGCCTAGACTGCACTAGGCAGTCCTAGATAACTCTTAAACTGTGCTGTTAACCCTGCACTTCCTAGATAATGCCTACCTTGCCTAAAAAGCTAGGCATCCTAGACAGGTAATACTTTGAACTAGACCTACAGTATACTAGATCTGTCCCTACCAGCGCTGCCTCCGTACCCTCCGATTGGTCCATAAGCGAGCCCTGCCCCAACCTAGCTAGATTGTGGAGCACCACTGGTGGAGTTACGTCGGTCCAACCATAGACCGTAACACAATGCCAGCCGAGTACCATAACGACTACCCACAAGCCATACCCACAAACGATACGTATGCATGCTATATTACAGAGTCTGGCTTGCAGAGCCCTTGCGCAACGTTCCTGTCCATTATCTACTTACTACTAACCGCTAGAGGTGGATGGTGTTCGATTCCACCAAAAACCCAAATGCGGCTAGCGACTAATGCCAGCCATAATGCTTTCGCGACTACCCACAAACCATACCCACAAACCATACGTATGCATGCTATATTACACAGTCTAGCTTGCAGAGCCTTTGCGCAACGTTCCTGTCCATTATCTACTTACTACTAACCGCTAGAGGTGGATGGTGTTCGATTCCACCAAAAACCCAAATGCAGCTAGCGACTAATGCCAGCCAAGTACCATAATACTTTCGCGACTACCCACAAACCATACCCACAAACTATACGTATGCATGCTATATTACACAGTCTAGCTTGCAGAGCCTTTGCGCAACGTTCCTGTCTATTATCTACTTACTACTAACCGCTAGAGGTGGATGGTGTTCAATTCCACTAAAAACCCAAATGCAGCTAGCAACCAATGCCAGCCAAGTACCATAATGCTTTCCCGACTGCCCACAAACCATACCCACAAACCATACGTATGCATGCTATATTACTAAGTCTAGCTTGCAGAGTATTTGCGCAACGTTCCTGTCCATTATCTACTTACTACTAACCGCTAGAGGTGGATGGTGTTTAATTCCACTAAAAACCTAAATGCGGCTAGCGACTAATGCCAGCCGAGTACCATAATGCTGTCCCGACTACCCACAAGCCATACCCACAAACCATACATATAAATGCTATATTACAGAGTCTAGCTTACAGAGCCTTTGCGCAACGTTCCTGTCTATTATCTACTTACTACTAACCGCTAGAGGTGGATGGTGTTCAACTCCACCAAAACCCTAAATGCAGCTAGCGCCCCTTGCTGCCTCGCTAAACAATCCTCTTACTAAAAACAGTCAAGACCTTACTAGTGCCTACCTTTCAACCACTCTCTCTTCTGCCACAACACCTATATAGCTTAACCGCTGCCTGCCTATGGCTTTTAAACCTGTTTTTGTCCCTTTGCGCTAAAAAAAATCTTACTGTCCCGGTCTATCCTTATGCCTGTTTCTGCAGTTCATATTCCTAGGTTATTGAGTCCCCACGCACTCCCATATGCCTCTAAGTAGACTCCTACCGTATTCGGACCCATTGTCTTGCCTGTGCCGTTACACTTATTAGCTGTAACTAGCTTAAGAAACACAGCTCTATATTTAATTAGGTAGCTATAACACTTAAAAACACCTAATTAACGTAAAGAAATGTTATAAACGTTATACACTAATAATTTATACAGAATTTATAAATCTAATAAATATAGATTAGAATAGTACCTAAAGAAGAAAAAACTTTAAAAAGTTCTTTTATTAAAAACTAAAAGCTAGGGCTATTTAATTAATATAGAAAAACTTATAGAAATTAACCCTCTATAATATAATAAACAGCTAAGACACGATCCTCTCAGCTAGTTAACTCACAGCTATGCGGCCTCTAAAAGGCTGTGTAACTAACAGTTAGACACATTGCAATAAATCGTGGACATATCCTTAGGTGAACACTATCAACAGCGTCTAACAATTGGCTTGTAATTGTTAAACTCTAACAACAATATACTTCCTCTCCTTAAAGTCATTTTCAAGCTTCGCTCTTACTTGACTCCCATCTGTATCAACCTTCGGGTCTACTGTCCCCTTTGCTAAGATAGCGTGACTATCCTTTTGGGCGGCCTCTTTAACCTTCTTATCTGCTGCATTCTTGTTCGCTTGTATGATCAGCTCAGGCTTGCCGTCGATATCCGAACCCTTGTCAATCCTGAAACTGTAGTTTGCGTCGTTCTTCGGGGTACGGCTTGGAAACAACCTCTGTCCTCTAGAAGTGTTGGGCGCTTTTTGTACAACTTTGTTCCACTGAACCTTGTTGAGGAATGTTTGGAGTGTTTTGAAGGAGATGTCATGAGGCATATTGGTGGCTAGGAAGCTTCTAACAAAGGTGAGCAACGGACAACAGAAAGGTAATTCAGCGAAATACCTTCGCTCAATATAATGATATTTCTAACAACGTAGAAGTTTGATATTGAACTGATAAAGTGAAGTGTATTGAGTTAAGTCTAAGTGTTCTGTTGCAGAGTATTTATTTACATCTATAATGGCAGGGGCAGTGAGGACCATGGCAGTGGCTAAGGAGATATAGTGAAGGTAGTAGGAGCTATAGTAACAGAAGTCGGGGCTGTTGAGGCACAGGGAAGGAAGGTTTCTATACCAGGAATGCCACAAGAGTCCCGCTCCTTCTCCCTGGGGACGTAAGAAAATGAGCTCAGGGACCAGGGGCCACAACATTACCCTAGCGAATTCTAAGCGCCTAGTGATTGCGGCACCGGAAGGCTGGACGGACACAATTACACCATTTGCGAGGAGAATCGACACGCACGGACAGTGAGTGCTCTTGCATGAGCCGGGAAGGGGTCATATGTGAAGCGAGTCGACAAGGTGGTGAGATCCAAACGAAGTGGATTGAACGAGTGTATTGTATGGTCTGAGGAGCTCAATAGAGCTCTGAGCTGACTATATTTATCTCAGCAAGCTCAGACGGGATGGGGAGAGAGCCTCGACAGGGGCAAGCCCCTGCTAGTCAATTGGAACCCTGGCGAGTAGCCTCAGTGGCGCAAGCCCCACTTCTCTAGCCAATGAGGGTGTAAGAAAGGCTTTCTCTCCCCAGCTGTCTAAGGGACTTTTGTGATTTTTTAGGTGATATTATGGTTCTAAACCTCCTCCACTATGCACCAGCATAACTAAGAATTACTGTAGCTCTACCACTTTTCGTCTAAACCAGGTTAGATTTTAATAGGTAATAGAGACAGTCTCTAGCTATATTCTAACATTTTTGTAACCTAATTCTAACAAGATTTAGCAGAGTATTGCGCTATTAAGTCCTGCGTAGGACATTTTAATAACTCTATAACTACACCTTAATGCAACTCTCTAACTACATAATATATTATCTTTAGAATTTAAGACCTATCTAAGACAGGTTCTATTAGGGAGCCTGCAAAATTTTAGAAGATCTAGGCTGCTAGTTGTCAAGCTGGATAGTAGGCTAGGGACATCGCGATCGCTCTTATGTCTACAGCTCAACTAGCTGTTGTCTGAGGACTCTAAGGATCTAGGAGCCATCTTAGACTAGCTCTATTAGGGAGTCTGCAAAATTTTAGGAGATCTAGGCCGCTAGTTGTTAAGCTGGATAGTAGGCTAGGGACATCGCGATCGCTCTCATGTCTGCAGCTCAACTAGCTGTTGTCTGAGGACTCTGAGGATCTAGGAGCTGTCTCAGACTAGCTCTGTCAGGGATCCTGCAAAATTCTAGGGAATTTGGTCTACTAGTTGTCAAGTTCTAGTCAGGAGGGCGATACTATTAATCTAAAATTAGGGTATGGATAGGTTACAGTTCTGCGCGCGTTTAGATTTTTCTCTACTAATAATAGTTATGTAACGGCGCAGGCAAGACAATGGGGCCGAATGCGGTGGGAATCCACTCAGAGGCATATGGGAGTGCGTGGGGACTCTGAACCTGGGAATGCTATTAACACCTATAGGCCTTGTACAAAAGGATATCAGAAAACTACTAAGCTAGCTACAGGGGCAAGGTGCGACTAAATACATAAGGGAATAGAGGTAACTATAGAGGACTAGGTTAAGTTATAGTTAGGGCTAATACAGGGACCCTTTAGATAGAATCTAAGAAACCTAAAATAAAACAAGTTATAGAATTATTACACTACCTTCTTTTTTATAAGCTAATAGTCTTTATCTATAGTGTGTAAAAAATATTTAGAACTAATTTAAAACTAATTTAAATAAGATAACATAGTCTACAAGCGAATGTTCAACACAAGCAAGTGTTCCGCCCCACTACTAAATTTAACTTTAAAGACTATTAATTTAACAACGCAAAAATATACTATATAAAATAAACTACTATAGGATTATTTAATATCCTCACATGTACAAGAGTTATGCCTAGGCTTGTTGCAGCGCTTGCAGCGCTGTGCGCGCGCTGCGCTGCTTTTAGCAGTTAACTCCTCCTAAGGCATTTTGCTACCTCCTGCTATACTAGCAAGCTTCTAAGTACTTAACTTAAAGCCCTAATAACTTGTTAGAGTTTCTTCTTTCTAAATTTACTTTTTTTTACACTGCTTGCGCTTTGTAGCTGCCTTACAGGCCCTCTCTAGGGCAGCTGCTTAATTGCGCTGTAGAACAGCAACATAAGCTATCTTAGTAGCGCCCTTGCTTAGCTGCTTTACTAGATTAAGCATAGCAAAAGAAGACAAATTCTAATGCCTTTAAATCTAATTATATAGTAGAGTTAACTAAGCCTTAACCTTATAAAGATTGCTAGGTGTTTAAGCCTTCTAGGCAGTATTTAGTAGTAGAGTAGCTAGCTAATTAGGTAGCTGTATATTAAGCTTTAAGAGCACTAGCTCTAGGTTAAATAGGACTAGTCCTATAGCTCTAAAGCCTGCGCAGATATTATCTATTGTAATTAAGCAACTAAATGCTACCTTAAAGGCTAGTAGGAAAGTTAGCTTGTTAATATAGTTAATCTAGTAGCAGATTAACTAGCTAATCTTAGTACTGTACGCGCGCTTTAACAGCGAAAAGCAGCCAACGTCAAGCGGCTGTAGAATATGTGACGCGTGTGCTGGCATACAGAGCGCTATAATACGCCTCTGCTTACAGAGCTCTAGGAATTTAACAGAGTAATAGCTCTTATAGCTATTAAAAATAAGTAGCTACTATAAGCCTACTAAGTAATCTTTTATGTGCAGATTAAAGTGCTCTAGCTATGTAATTCTATATTTATTAGTTGTCTAGCTGTTGTTGCTAACACTAATAGCCTAGTCCTTTAGTATATCCTCATCCTTATACTAGGCAGATAGGTGATGCTTGCCTTTAAAGATTGCGTACAGAGGTATTGCCCACCCATCTGCGTTAATGCCTGCAATAACCGTCACCCATTCACAGTCGCCTAGCTGTATAGCCTTTAGCCAATTACGTCTATCTGTGCCTGTGACAACTATTTAGCTTAATATAACCCCCATCTAAAAGCCTGTCTTGTTAAAATTATACGTGTCCTAATCTACAATGCTGTACTTTAATTATGTAGCCTCTACAAGCTTAAACTACTTACTTATAATTACTAGATCTTCGCATTTTGCTTGTTAGTAATTGTACAGTTAGCTAAGGTGGGTTTTAACTGCTAGCGTACGCGCGACAAAGTTAGATGGCCAGTTAATACCTGCTAGTGGAGCGCCGCGCTTAGTAAGAAGCTTGTTAGCCATCTCTTGTACAGCACCTAGAGTAGGCGCAAATCCTTAGGAATCTAGATTAAGTATATGCTTAATAATTACCTCCTCTTCTAGCTTTGTGAGCTTCTTGTTGTTAGCCATACAGTCACGTCGCATAGTCATCCCTGCGCGTCGTCAGCGGAGAGCCATTTAATTAACATTGTAAAGTGCTGTAGCGCGCCTCTTAGTTAAAGACGCGTCTCTATTAAGAGCTTAAATAGCTAGGTTAATTCTAGCCTCTTTTAAAGATAATTAATTGTATGGTTGTTAATGCATCGCGGTTAGTAGTAGGTTGGCTGCGTTTTGGTGGTGGGGCGGAACACTCGCTTGTGTTGAACATTCGCTTGTGGACCATGTTATAATAAGTATAACTATTTTAACTAAAATTTTCTATTACTAAGAAATAGACTAAAAACCTAATACTAATATAATGCCTTTATTATAATGTTTTTGTTTAGTAGTAACTAGTAGTGTAGTTATTATTAATATAGCAAATTTATTATTTATAGCAATAAGTGTTTACTTACCTTACTTATATAGTTTAGTTAATGTTGTTAGTTTCTTCTTTAGCTATTATTTAAATCTCTACTTTATAGGTATTATTATGCACCTAATATTTTATAGCTTAGTCTACTAACTAATTATAGTATTAAAGAAATTTACTATGCTACTCTGCCCCCCTCTTAGAGCCTCTTTAGAGGCGTTTTAAGTTATCTACTTTTAGGCTGCTTACGCTCTTACTTATAGCTTTTAAGTTAAGTTTTTTTATTAGTCTTTTAAATTAAAGAAATGTAAATATTACACCTTACATAATAAAAAATGTAACTTTATATAAATATAGTTTAATACTACTAAGGTATAGTTTACTAATATGTGCGTAGGTTCTTTTATATTATAAAAAGAAATTTCTAGTCTTTTAAAGCTATCTTAAGCTATAGGCAGCAGCTTAAAACATAAAAAGTAAAAAAAAATAAAAAAGAAGCTTTTAAAGCTATTTTAAAGTTTACTTAGAACCTAGCGCAGGTAGTGTAGGTTATAAAGAGTTAGAAAGCTAGTCTTCTTATAGCTAGTGTCTAAGTAGCCTTATTTTACTAAAACACTAAGCTACTTTATTAAGTTTTAGCCTTAGAGGCTTTAGTGTTTAACCTTTAAGCAGACATTACAGCGCTCTTAGTGTCACGGTATCCTCCCCGGATCCTAGACATAACTGTATTAGACGCGTACTAGAGTATTATTAGTGCACGTCTAACATAAACACAACACAACACAGACATAAACTTAAGTATAAACTGCCTTAACACTAACTAAACCTAGAACAGGCTTAATTTATACCTAAAGCGCTTAGACTTCTAAGCTAAGTATTTAATTACTAATTTTCTTTTAAACTTTTCTATTCCTTACATAACATCTTATACTTACTATAATACCTTATATAGTAATTAAACTAGACCTTTATAAAGCTCTATAACCTTACTTATGCATAATTATAACATTATGTTGTGTTAAAACCTTAGCTAAGAATAGCCTCTAAATCTAATCTAATAAGCTTAGTACTTATATAACTCTAAGCTATTAAAGTAAGCTAAAAATCCTTTTTAAAAGCGCTTACTTTATAAAAAA